GGGGGGGGGGGGGCTCCTATTAGAGGGAACACGATGTTACAAACTTCAAAATTAAACGTTTTCGATGGTTTCTATATTTGAAACAACAAAAATTATTTATTATTATTACGGATTGTTATTCAATGAGATTTGAATCTCAAATTATCTGATTTTTTACGAAAGTCTCTTTTCTGTGGATTTTTGTGTATAAATCTGGGAAATGTTTTTTTTTCAAAATTGTATCAAATTCCAATAGTTTCTATGAAAACTCTCTATTTTCAGGTTTTTTTTGAAAAAAAATCTTTTTCGGCATCCAAAAGTTTAAAAAATTCAAAACCTTTGATCTCTAGTTTTCGGATGTTCGAGGCTTGCAAAACCAACAAAAAAAACAATTCCGTCTGTCTGTATGTATCTGTTTGTCCAAAAAAAGAAATGAGTTTCCATTTCGATTTTCAAAAATTTCAATATTTCAGCTTCTTCTGATTTATTAGATTTTTTTTTTGATTTTCTAGATTTTTCCTAATTTCAACCAAACTTCCCGACTTTTCCCAACCAAAGATTTGAAAAGTTGACAATACTCGATTTCAAAAAATCAATCGACTTTTTGATTTTCTACCCTTCTCGTCTCAAATTTTCAAAATCCCAAAGGTTCCCAAATTTCCAGTCCTTCTCAAGCTTGTCCCAAATATCCCCAAAAAAGGAGATGAAGTCACCGGGAGCGGTGATATCACTCTATATTCGACGATTTTTCCGATGGACCGGCGTACAAGTGTATCAGTGAGTCATTTCTTCGTCTTTTTAATGCAAATTTTCACCTCGTTTTCACTTTTTTGTTGTTCCCGAAATGTCATTTTCAAGGTACATACACTAAAGTGCAAATAGGGTGTGAAAAGTTAAAAAAAATGGTTTAAAACATTTTCAAAACTCCGTGCACCTTTAAGGTTTCCAGATTTCTCGAAGTAGTGTTTTAAAGCCTGATTTTCTTATTTTTATGAATGAAAATAGCAAAAAATAAACTGATTGAAAATGATAAAAATCATTGAAAAACCCGATTATAATCGTCAAAAATCAAGAAAATTGACCTCAAAGTGATAATTTTCGAAAAATCGAAAAATCTTTAAAGGCGCATAAAACTTAACGACACAAAACGGGTGTGCGCCTTTAAATATATTTTGTATAAATTTTTTTAAATCAATAATTTCAGCCATCCAGCACCATTCTTTTGGATTCCAGTCACACTTTCATTTTTGGCAGTTTTGGGACTATTGAGATTTTATGAGGAAAATCGGATATGGTATTTGTACAGGTAATTCCCTTTTTTGGGGAAACTATAACTTGAAAAAAACAAGAAAATAAAAGAAAATTCTAAAAAAAACCTAAATCGGGAGTCATTAAATTGTTATGATTCTTAAATTTTGAAATTCACAAATTTGAGAATCTGAAATTCCAAAACCTGAAATTCTGAGATTTGGAACCCTTAAGAATATGAAATTATAAAATTTCGAATTCTGAGATTCTGAGATTTTGAGATTCTTGAGTTCTGAGATTCTGAGATTTTGAAATGTCGAGATTTCGAAAATTTGAGATTCTGAGATTCTGAACTTTTGAGTTTGTGAATTTCTGAATTTCCAATTTCACAGAACTCAGTCTTATAATTAAAAAAAATCTGAAAAATTTCAGCCCCGAAAAAGCAGATTCCCATTTCGAGCACGCCGTCGCCAATGAATTTTTCAACGATCGAGGTGGAAAATTTTGGTTGGAGGTATGTTTCTTAATGTTCCTAAAATGTTAAAAAAAACACATTTTCCCATACAAAAATTTTCATATTGACTCCTTTGAAAATTCCAAAAATTAGGAAGTTTCGAAAAATCAAAAATGAATTTTTCAAGATTTTCAGATATTTTCCAATTCTCGATTTTCTAAATTTCTGGAAAAAATATCCTAAAAGTCTAGACAATCTGAAAATTTGAAAAATTTTTAGATTCTTGTATAAAAATCACATTTTTCTCGTTTTAAGATTTTTGGAATTTTTTGAGAAATTCCAAAAAATTCCAAAAAAACTCTCCCGACTTCCATCAATCCTTCTGTCTTCCAATCACTACACTCATCATCCATTTTATCAATTGAATCATTATTAACGAATTGCATCAATACCTGCTTCTTCTTCCTATTCTCCTCTTTTTCCTAAATGTTTTAAGCAGATAAGCTGGTTTTTTTGTATGTATGGTCTGGCGAGGTGACTATTGGGATAAGAGAAATAGTCACGGATTGGAGACGAAGGACAAGGGATTTATCATTGTATTGTGTAATACATGACACAATGCCGTAAAAGCTAGACAATGGCAAAAGAAGCGAAAAAAAATCCCAGGGGTTTTTTGTGGTTTGAAATGATGAAAGACACAATCACTTTTTTTGCCTTCTGAATCTTCTCAGACGTGACGATGACTCCAGAAGAAAAAAACAATTTTCCGTTAGAATTTTTTAAAAGATTGGCTTTGTGATGAAACATATTTTGTGTAGATCAAATATATACAGAAAAAATTAGGGTGTTTTGAAACACTTGTTTTTGAGATGTGCTCACTGGAGCATAAAAGGTATGGTTTTGGAGTTTGGCTATAACTCGGCTCAAAATGAGTAATTTTAAATTTCATATAATGGTAAAAAAAACTGAAGACATCGAACGTTTTAATTTAGTTGAAATTCTAGAATTTTTCGGTTTAGCAAAAGTAAAAAAAAACCAAAAATGTATATTTTTTCAAAATTTGAAACATTTTAGCAGCGGAAGGAATATATTCGATTTTCAATTATCAGAATCTCAGAATAATCATAACCAAAGAAATTCAGAAGCTTAGAACCTTAGAATCAACATTCTCGATGCTTTAATCACCTAAACTTCAAAGAGAGAAATATGTCTTATATCGTTATTGAACGCAACGGTCTGGTGACAAGATTATTCGTATTGTTGATGTTGGAAGTGGTCCTAACACTTGCCCCGATTTTTATCTTCTGTTGTTTTGAGTATCGAGCATCGAAGAAGAAGAGTATGAAGACCACGACGACTACAGAGTTGAAACATTAGATTCCACTTGAAAATGTAGAACCTCAAAACCTCGAAATCTCAGAATTTGAAAATTTCAGAATATAAGAATCCGATAATCTTAGAATTTAAGAGTCTAAGAATCTGAATATCTCAAAATCTCGGAATCTCAGAATCTCAGAAGCTCAGAATCTCAGAATCTCAGAAACCCAAGAATCTCAGAACCCAAGAATCTCAGAACCCAAGAATCTCAGAACCCAAGAATCTCGGAATCAGAATCTCAGAACCCAAGAATCTCAGAATATCGAAATCCCGGAATCTCAGAATCTCAGAATCTCAGAATCTCAGAACCCAAGAATCTCAGAACCCAAGAATCTCAGAACCCAAGAATCTCAGAACCCAAGAATCTCAGAACCCAAGAATCTCGGAATCTCAGAATCTCAGAACCCAAGAATCTCGGAATCTCAGAATCTCAGAACCTATCATTCATGTGTCTAGGATTTTACTACTGCATTTTTCGAATTTTTTCTTCCATTTCCCGTTGAATGTGTGAATTGAACGAATCCGTTTTGTCGTTTTTTCACATTCCTCTCTTTTCGCACTTTTTTCTCTGCTAGAACGAAAACGACCAGTTAGCTTAGGGTTTTCGGTTTCGATTCAATGATTTCAAACGAATTTTCTTCTCGAGACACTTCGAACGAAAAATTGCTATACATGAAACGGTCGAGTTGGTATTTCTAGAACATTGGGTGATAATTTTGAAGTTCAGAAATTCCGAAATTTGAGATTCCGAGATTTTGAGATTCTGAGATTCTGGCATTCTGAGATTCTAAAGTTCCGATATTATTCGGAAAATCTGCTATTCTGAAATGATGAGATTCTGGAACTTTGAAAGTTTCAAAAGTTCTTCGTGATCGAATGTTAAAGATTTTGAAATTTTGAGAAATTCTAAGATTTCGCTATTCTGAATTGTTTTTGGAAAACTTAAACTCCTGAAAATCAATATTCTCCTTTCTTTACAATTCTTCTGTATTCCCATGATCAATGTCACAAGAATTGACTCCATTTTCTCTTCTTATCTCAAAATTATTTTCTCTCTTTCTCTAACCCCTCCAATCACTCTTTGATCTATTACGGCATCCCCTCAGGACAGGTATCCCGAGCGGTTCGAAGAAAAAAAACTGGATAAAAAATCCCGAACATTTTTTTGCCGTCTGTCTTGCGCAATTTCATTTTGTATAAACGCAACCTGTTCAAAATTACAAAAGATTTTTTTTGCAAAAAAATCGGACCTAAGAGAGAATCTCAGAATCTCAGAATCTCAGAATCCAAGAATCTCAGAATCTCAGAATCCCAGAATCCCAGAATCCCAGTATTCCAGAATTCCAGAATTCCAGAATTTCAGTATCCTAGAATCTAGGAAGGAGAATCAGAAACTCAAAATCTCAGAATCTCAAAATCTCAAAATCTCAAAATTTCAAAACTTCAAAATTGTCTCGATGAAGAAAAATCTCGATAAAGAGTTTAAAACAACGTTGTAAAATTTTTTGAACATTCTAATCTTTAAAAAACCAGGTCTTACTGTACGAAACAAAAAAGTGTTACAGTAATCATTTGGAGGTAATTATGACGTCAATAAGTGTGTATAAATGACCAGAACTAATCTGCCCTGCCAAGCGGAAAGATGATGATGTGAAGGAGAGAAAACAAAACGATAATCTGAATAAAAAAGAGGAAAAATGAGGGATTTTTGAAATTCCAAATTTATCGAAAAATTATATTTTTCGGGAAAGACATCTTCAGAACTTGAAAATTCGAGAAGCTCATATTTAAAACTAACTATTAATTTTGAGCCAATTTATCTCGGTTCCTGTCAAAGATATGCAGAAGTGGCAAACTAATAAAATGTTTAATATAATATCACAAACATTTTATCAGTTGACAGTTTTTTGATATCTCTTACAGGAATTGAAATAACTGAGCTCATACTTGACAATGTGGGGGACCTTGTACTACATGTTTTACCGTATTCCATTCCGGAATCTCAGAACTTCAAACACCCACAGTTTGAGAGGTTTAGAACTTTTATCTGAAAACCTAAGAATCCTAAAGTCATTACTACCACTTTTCATTTTCCCTTTCCTTTATTTTCTTTCTGCTTCTTCGTTCCATTGAACACCATTCGACGCTTTTCATTTTTAAAGAAGAAGAGGGAGAAAATCGAATGAAAAAAGAAGAAAAAAGTGAGTGAAGGACCGGTCGAAAGTTTGTTCGAATGGCAGATTCGTTAGGAAAAGTCGCTGGGAAAAAGCGAAAAAAATCGGATGAATTCGAAAAGATGATGATGGCAAGATATGGTTTTTGGTGTGTGTCACTTTGGTTTTTGTTTCGCCAAAATGGATTTGAAAAAGAATATAGTGGAGACATCTGGATACAGGGAAACTCGGAGATTCTAAAATTCCTAAATTCTTAAATGCCATAAACACTCTGATAAAAAGCCATCATATACTTGCACTTTGAGCTCGATTATCTCCATTTTCATAAGCGATAACAAAAATGTGTTAACTGATAGAACGTTGGTAATATTATGACAAAAATTATATCAGTTGTAGAAAATTCTGATATCTCACACGGAAATTGAGATAATTGAGCTCAAAGTGCACATACAAACCGTATTTCCTTTAATAGCAACGCACTAAACTTCGAGCTCAATTTTTTCGGTTCTATGAAAAATACCACAAATATTTTAACTGATTAATTAGGAACATCCACTTTGAGCCTATATATCTCACTGCTTTCGAAAGAAATCAACAAGTTGTTAACTAATGAAATGCTTATCATAATATCAGCAACATTTTATTAGTTGATCACTTTTTGATATCTCTCACAGAAAATGAGATACATGGGCTCAAATTCGACGATTCGGATGCCGTGCTATTAGAGTGTTTACGGTAATATCATTAAAGGTGGGGCGACATGAAAAAAATAATGTTCTCGAAATTCCGTTCAAAGATGCCTCTCGAGGAATTGAACTTGTGAGGGCGATGATTGAGGGTGCGGCGCCGCTACCGACTGAGCTACACGGGCAAAGAAAAAGCGGTCGCCCGATTGCATACATAAAGGCGAGGAAGACAGCTGTACGCAGAGTGACATTAAGCGTTGTACACCGTGACGGTAGTATGCATACTCTAGCTACAAAAAAACTACGAAAAATCTCCTGTCCCCCCACCTTTAAATCTCACAGGAGCCGAGATAATTGAGCTAAAAATTGACTTTGACAAGTGAATGTGAAAAAAAGTGAAAGTGGAAAAATAAAAAAGTGGAAAAAAGTGAAGACATGAAACAATAATTTTCTCAAAACTCTGTTTGAGAAATTCTAACAAGAACCGAAACACTTATAATTAAAAAAAATTTCATTTCCAGGTAACAATAACCGCAAAAGACATGGACAATCTACTGCGACGGGATTATTTGGATGGCGTTGACTCGTTGGCGGAATTTCTACAGTATAACTTCACAGTACCATGTAATGGAGTCAAAGGAAAAAACCAAATCGATTGCTCATTTTCGGATTTATGCTCTGGACAGTGTAATGATAATCAAGTGATCCCATTATTCAATTTGATCTACCGTAATGCGTCCTCACGACTTCATCCGAACTTCCGTCTGACGTATCCGACAATGCATTTGTATAACGATGAGTATTATGTTGGAGAGCACTTTGCTGGTGTCAAAATTGATCCCAAAACTAATGTGTGAGTGCTTTTTTTATTGAAAAATTGAATTTGAAAAAAGCTTGTTTTGGAAGACTTACTAATTAAAGAAAAAACAAAATTCAAACTTCAATTTCATATTTTCAGAATCTCCCGTGTCAAAGTGGTCGTTCTCTACTTCCGAACCGATCGTCAGACTCCTCAAATTTCCTCAGTCATCAACGAATGGGAACGCTCTCTTTTCGACTACGTAGCCCATTTCAACCATCCAACTCTCAATATGACACTCAATTCCGATGCAATGATCGCCAGAGAAGTGAGAACCAATGGTCTCAGCTGTGTTCCATACTTCGGAGCCTCCGTCATCGCCGTAGTCCTCTTCATCTTCGCCACGAACCAACGAGAACACTTCGTCATGTCTCATAACATCGTCATGGCCATTTTAGGAATTGCTGGACCTCTGATGGCCGTCGGAACCACCTTCGGATTCCTTTTTCTCTTTGGATTCCCATTCAACTCCATCACCCTTGTGATGCCATTTTTAATCATTGGCGTTGGTTGCGACGACGTTTTTATCATAATTCATGCAATGCGGAAAACGGATAAACGAGAGAGTTTAGAGAATCAAATCGCTGAAACCATGGAAGAAGCTGGCCCATCGATCACCGTCACTTCTGCAACTAACATTCTATCTTTTGCAATTGGAATCGCTACTCCAACCCCTGCAATCTCACTATTCTGTTTGTATACCTGTATTGCGGTTGCTGTAGATTTCGTTTACCAGTTGACTTTTTTCGTAGCCGTTTTGGTTTTCGAGGAGAAGAGATTGGAGGCAATGAGATTATCGAAAAAGCAAGAAAAAGTCGAGGAAGCTCTGGGAGCACCCAAGCAAGTGTTATCTATACAAAACTCGATTCGCTCTACCGCTGGAGCCCATCCCCTTCCAGCAAACCCAGATGGGATCGTATCGAGATACTGTAGATTCTTAAAGGATTGGAGGACGAGAGTAGCGCTTCTGTTAATCCTCTCCGGGTACTGGACAGCGTCGTATTATGGTTGTAAGACAATGGAAATCAAAATGGATACTACGAATTTGATCATGAAGGATTCGCCGCTGAACAACATTGCTTGGATTTACGAAAGGTTTTTGTGGAGTGAAGGGCAATTGGTGCTAGTTTTTGTCAATAATCCACCGGATCTGGCCAATGAGCATAACCAACATGAAGTGCTAGAGCTGGTCAGGCGGTTTGAGACACTTCCATACTCAATGGGCCGTAATTCCACGTCGATTTGGTTGAGATCGTTTTTGTATCAGAGCTCACTATATCATAACACAAAGGGATTCAATGGGTTACTTCAAGAATGGCTGGATGACTCGGAAGGGGGCGGAGCCCGATGGAATGACATGCTACGGCTGAAAAAGGCGGAGAATGGAACGATTTTGGGAGTTGACAAGTTTATGTTCGCGACGGCTTGTGCTATGGGTGACGATGCAAACTGGGCGACGAGAGAAAAGTTGCAGAAGCAGTGGAGAGGAGTTGCACATGAATATGCACATTTCAATGTGACGGTTTTCCAGGTGAGTTTTGAGATTTGCTTGGGAACATACCTGTATTAGAAGGGCTCCTAACTTTCAACTTTGAGCCAATTTATATCGGTTCCTGTCAGAGATTCTAAAAAGTTGTCAACTGAAAAAATGTTTTGAATTCTTCTTTGTCCATTTGTCAATATGATCCACTTGAAATGTCCTGCAAAACTAGCCAAAAATCAATTCTCTAGCTTAAATTTGAAGCGAGTTAACAGCAATTGAAATTTGCGAGAGTGCAGAGAAACGAAAGTGTCTGCGTCTTTCTAATCCCTAAACTACGAATGGCTGTATCTCATCTCAAAATGATTCGTTTTGAGTGGCTCAAAGTGCATTTTGAAGGGTGTATCTATGGAAACCCATTCATTTATTCAATAAAAAACTTTCGAATTTAGAAAAATCGGGTAACAAAGTTTTTCCCAAATTCCTGCACATTTTACATAATCATGATCACTTAAAAACTTTCTACAAAAGTAGCCAAAAATCAGTTCTCTGCGTCTCTTACCTTCTAACTATGAAGCGCTGTATCTCAGCTCAAAATGGTCCGTTTTGAGTGGTTCAAAGTGCATTTTGATAAGGAAAATCAAAAGAATCGAGAAATTTTAAGAATTTAAAAAATCCCTAAAACCTATTTTTCAGAGCTACTCATTCTACATTGACCAATTAGACTCAATTGGCGGCACAACAATGTCTACAGTAATCTGGGCCGCTATAACCATGGATTTGGCTTGCCTTCTGATGATTCCTGGAATCAATTCGATCCTAACAAGCACAATCGCAATGATGTCTATAAATGTGGGCGTTTTTGGATTACTGTCAGTTTGGAATGTCAATCTGGACCCGATTACAATGTGCACCACTTTGATGTCAATTGGATTTTCCGTGGATTTCACTGCTCATATATCCTATCACTACTACCGTAATCCGACGAGTTGGACTACCGACGAACGACTGGCAGACGCATTGAAATCGATTGGATGGCCGATGATCCAAGCGGCCACTTCTACCGTACTCTGCATAGTTCCTTTGATGTTTAATTCGAGTTATATGGTTTGGGTATTTGTCAAAACCATTTTGTTGGTTACGGTTCTCGGAATTCTACATGGAATTATATTTTTGCCTGCGTTGTTGCTAACGGTGAGTTTTAAAATTTAGAAATTTCGGCGAAAAAAAAACCCGGAGTCATCGGCCGGGTTCTGAAAATTCGAAAATTCAGAAAATTTCATGAAAAAGTTTGATTTTTTGCAGTCCGGTGACCTGTCTCGATTATTTGGAGGATCGAGTGATTCCAAAATACAACCTGAAAAAAAGGAAAAATTGGGAGAGATCTCCCAAGCTTCTAGCTTTTCCAGCACGAATAGTGAGACGGTACTTGTCAAAAAAGGTATTTAAAAAATTTTTTTTTGGAATATAGAAATTCAAAAATTCCGGAATTCGGAAGTTCAGAAAAATTGACATCCGGGAATCGAAAAAATCAGAAATTCAGAAATCTGAAATTCGGGAGTTTAGATCAATTTTCAAACTTGAAAAATTCCAACATTTTAATACTCCTAAATTCAAATGTTCTGGATTTCCAGAATAAAAATCTCGAAAATGTCAGAAATTCTGATTTTCAGGATTTCAGGAAATCTACAATTTAGGAGCTAAAACGCATACTTGCAAAATCAGGGCCCGGTCCGGCTAGGCGGGCCCGGATTCTCCAAATTTGAAAAAATTGAAATTTCAGAAACTTTTTCAAAAATTTTTGTGAAATGACTATTTTTTATGAACACTCATCTTGAAAAAATTGTTTCTTCTCAGAAAAGTCGTCCATTTTTTCCGTTGACCCCAAAAATTTTTTGAAAAGACAGAAAAAAATGTTCCGAAAATCCAGGCCGAGACGAGCCGGGCCGGGCCAGGCCCTTAAAATGCTGAAAAAAGCCCGGCCCGTTGCAAGTGCTAAAAAGTTACAGAACTTTCAAAAAGTCAATATTTTCGGAAAATTTTGAAAAATTGAAATTAACAATTTTACAATTTTAGAAATTCAGTGTTGAAAATTAGAAAGTCTATAAATAAGAAATTCGAACTTTTAAATCGTTAAAGCAAAATTGAAAATTCTGAAATTCGGAAACTTCGGATTTCAGAAATTCTAAAAAAATAGTCCAATTTGGAAATTCCGTAACTTTTCAAAGTCTTCGAAATCCTTTGATAGTTTTATAACTTTTTTTAATTTTTTTAAATTATTTTCAAAACTTTCAGACGACTCCACCGAGCTGAAAACCATTCCACAGGAGCGAGGATCCGGTTAAAAAACTATAAATTTTCCTCATCCAAAAACCTATTTTTGTACTTAATTTTCTAGTTTTTTTCTGTTTTTTTTAAACACTTTTCTCCCCAAAATTGCTCCAGATTTTCGTCTCCAATGTCCTCCAAAAAATACGGGTGATCTCAACTGTTTTCCATGTTTTTATTGACCACTTCTCTCCAGAAATTGAAATGAAATTTTTTGAATTCATTGAAGCTCACAAAAAAAAACTTTCTGGAAAAATCAAACGTCCAGAAAATTGGAAAAAAAAATAATAATCCGGTTTAGAAACACTTTTTTTGTGATAATAAAAAAACGATAATGATAAGGGCGAAATGATGTGAAAAGAGCAGAGAAAAGAGCACAGGTTTAGTGATATTTGGAAAAATTGAAAACGGAATTTAAAACTTTGGTGATAAGAAGACGGAAATTCAATAAATGGCGCCGCATCTAATGTCATTTTCTTTAATTTGACTCCTTTTTCGCTTTTAGAAATTTCTAGATTTATCTAGAATCCTTTTCAGAAACTTTAAATAGCTTTTTTTAAAACTAAATGACGCACAAACTTTTTCAACATTTTTTTCAGATTTTAAATTTTTTTAAATAAAAAATTTTTCTGAGACTTTAAAACAAAATGTTTATGATTCTTCATATTATTCTTTCTAAAACGAACTGAAAATCATTAAAAACGGATCATTTACAGTTATTTGAATTTCGGAGGTTAGTGACGCAGACACTCTCGTTTTTCTGCGCTCGCGTCAACTTTAAAGGCGCATAACTCGCTATAAAATTTAGCTATAACGGTGATTTTTAGCTAGTTTTGTAGGGAAATTTAAGTGGATTAGAATGATATTAAATTTGACTAGGAAGCCGAGAAAATCAAAATGCGGACACATGGTGTGGCGAGTCGCCATTGGCCACCGCGCAGCTCAGGATTTTGCGCATGAGCTCAACTCCTGGGTCTCGCAACTTTTCAAGATTCTACAAGTACAATTTATGACGGTACTGTAAAATCTGTAAACATAAAACTCGACCGCGTAGCACCGCTATCAATTTCAACTCATCTTCAATTCCGTTAATCAATTTCCCAAATTCTCCCAACCTTCTTATAAACTTTCTCAAATTCCAGTATGCAAGCCATGCTGCTTGCCCTGGCACTCGTGCCTCTGGCCTCGGCCTTCGTTCTCCCAGAAGCCGCTCACCCAGAAAACCGTGACGTCTACACCATCCCATACAACGATGCATTGGCACGCAAACAGCTTCTGTTCGCCGCCGGAGCCGCCTACGGAACTCAACCACAACAGTGTCTGAACAAGGTCTTCACAGGAGCCACAGTTCGTAGAGTTATTCAAGCTAGATGCGATGTGAATCCAGCTGATAAGTGCTTGGGATACACTGCTGTCAGTCCAAATGATAAGGCGATTATTGTGGTGTTCCGTGGAACGAACAACAATGTGCAATTGATTTTGGAAGGATTGGAGACCGTGTTTGAATACCATGTGAGTAATTTCGGAGGCAGATATATGAAAGTGATATGAATAGAAAGCTGAAAATCGGTGGAATTTGAGAATTAAACAAACTTTTTGAAAAAGTGGTTTTTGACAAAAGTTATATTGATTTGAACTTCACGGCAGACATGTGGACGTAAACACTCTGATGGAATAACGCTTACTAACTTTGAGCCAATTTATTTAGCTTCCTGTAAAAGATATCGAAAAGTTGTCAACTGACAAAATGTTTTCGATATTAAGCTACACATTTTCCTAGTTGACCACTTTCTACAGGAAATGAAATACAGGAGCTCAAAGTTGGCGGTTTAGAAAACAATCTATTAGAGCTATCACAGTATACAGTGCGTCCAATAATGATAAGACACCCCCTGTTTTTGACCATAACTCGAGAACGAAAAAAGATATTAAAAAACTGTAAACGCCATTCGTCTTAAAATTGAAAAATACTCTAGGACTAAAGTTATTGGTTTGGTCCGTGCTGTGAACGCTGTTGTCGGTGCTCAACTCTTATGCCCAAGAAAATGAGACAGATCTTTTCACGGTTTCTCGAAAAATTCCCAATTTCAGACACCATGGGCCGCCGGTGGTGTCGTCTCGCAGTACTTCAACGACGGATTCTTGAACATCTGGAACGCCGGACTCAAGGACGACTTCAACGCACTTGCTGCCAAGTATCCAGGATACCAAGTTTGGGTAAGTGTACTGTAACAGGTCTATGTTCATTTAAGGTCTGTGGCACTTTAAGGTCTGCCTCTTTAAGGTCTATGTTCCTCTCAAGAATTATGACCTTAATGAAGATAGGTTTCCATCGCTAGACTAGAAAAAATGTCACGAACTGTTCGATGATGCTTTAAACTTTTTATGATAAGAGTAGAGTAGACTATGTTACGAAATTTGACGAAAATTATAGATTAGCATACTTTGACCCTAAACGCATAATTTTGCAAATACTGGAAGAAACAATAGGATAGGGGACGTAGCAGTTCTGGCAGGCCAAACCGGCTGAAGCCAGTTGAAATTTAAGCTCAATTATTTCACTTCTTTTGAATGATATCAAAAATCTGTCAAATGATAAAATGTTTTTCATAATACCACTAACATTTTTGAAGTTTACCAATTTTTGATACCTTTACAGAAATTGAGACAATTTAGATCAAAGAGCGATCAAGCTCTAAAGTTGATTAACTTCAAGTTTTTGCGTCTCTTGCCTTCTAATTTTGAAACGCTGTATCTCAGCTCAAAATGGCCCAAAGTGTGTTTTGTATGAAAAAATTAGACAACTGGAAAAATTTTATTTTGAAGTTTCCGATTTCAGATCACTGGACACTCTCTCGGAGGAGCCATGGCCTCCCTTGCCGCCTCTTACATTACCTACAACAAGCTCTATGACGCCTCCAAGGTTCAACTTGTCACTTATGGACAGCCACGTGTCGGAGATGCTGCCTACGCTAAGGCCGTCGACCGTGACGTCACCAACAAGTTCCGTGTGACTCATGCTCACGATCCGGTACCACATCTTCCACAACAAAACATGCAAGGATTCACGCATCACAAGGCCGAGGTCTTCTACAAAGAGGCTATGACCAAGTACAACATTTGCGATGATGTTGATGAGAGCGAGTTCTGCTCAAATGGACAAGTCCTTCCAGACACTTCTATCAAGGTTGGTGTGGTACTATGTCAAATACAGTACCGGTTAATAAGATATGGAAAAACTTAATTTTCAGTTGATTTTCGGCCAGAAAGGGGTCCCTTTCAGAAATCGGCAAATAGCTGAAAAATCAGGATTTTCAAAAAATTCTGTGAATGCAAAGTTTTTAATCTAGATCTCTTTCGTAACCAATAAATTTTCAAGGTATTTGGGTACTTGACAGCAGAGATCTAGACTCCTGAAAATGGCTGAAAATGAACTGAAAACTAAGTTTTTGTATATCAAACCGAAAACCCTGTATTAGAAGGGCCCTTCTAAAATTTGTGTCTTTTGCAATGAAAAAAAGTTTAACTTTTCCAGGATCATCTCCACTACTTCAACCTCGACGTCAGCGATTTGGGATACTCGAACTGTGCCAACGTTAAGGTCTAAATTTAGATGGATCCAACCTAATTTTTTATTTTTCTGTTTCTGAAAATAAAAAATTTACGAAAATCTTTTTTTTTTGAATTTTTAGTTTATACAAAAAGTTTTCAGACATTTTCTAAAAACTCGAATAAGTTGTAGCTAAATTTTTGGGGTACTGTACTTCATGAACCATCTTCAAAGCCTGTGGTCTTGTATTGGATTCCTAGGCCAACTTTAGGGAGAGTTAGGCCATCAAAAGAAAAAGTATACTGAAAATTTGCTGTATTGTCTTGTAGTTTATTTTTGTCAGAAAATTATCGTAAAAGCTCAAATAGAAGTCGATCCTATACATGCAATTTGAGCTCAATTATCGCAATTTCTGTGAGAGATATCAAAATTTTGTCAACTGATAAAATGTTGGTAGTATTATGATAAACACTTTATCAGTTGACCAATTTTTAATATCTTTTACAGTAACCGACACAATTGAGCTCAAAGTGCTTGACTCGAAATCCCTCAAATTCTTAGAAAACTTTAAAACTTTAATTTATAATTCCCAACACATTTATACACCCACACGTTGTGAAAAAAACAAAAAAGAAAAACAAATAAAAATTTGAATTATATAATCCCAGGAGAAATTAAATATATAGATTACCTATACCCAAAATTTGAGCTGAACAATTTTTTCTTGTGTTTTGCTTTTATTTTCTCATAACAAAGTTTCGAAAGGGCCCCCTCTAATTTTTGACAAATTGAAATTTAATTTTGAAGTCAAAGTTGTAATTTTAGATTTCAGCATTTTTTCAGCTACCCTAAATAAGTCTCTGTTTCGATTTTTGAATTTTGATGAGAATTCCAGATTTTCAATATTTTCAGGTACCGTGCTATGTCGTTAATTACCAGCGCCTCAACACTCCTTCAAATTTACACCTGGTTTTTTGAAATTCCCGCCCTAATTTTAAATATTTTGCTCATTTTTTGTATCCATCGAGAGAAACGAACCGATAATCGTTTTCGAAAATTCAATTGCATTTTTCTATACTTCGTCTACAGTACCACTTGCCTTACTGTACTTTTTCCACTTCTACATCCGACTCTTATACCGGCTAGGGATCTGATTTATATCGTTTTTATTGGGCCGATGGCTGATATTTTTTCAATACCAATGCTCAAATTTTTGTATTGTTTATTGGTGGGATTGGCGAGTTTTCAAGCTTCGATTCCGCCGATTGTGTTGGCGTTTAAATGGTTGGTTGTGCAAAAGTGAGTGCTGAAAATTGGAATTTCATAATTTTAGAGAATCTGGAAAATCTGGGATTCTGAACTTGTGAAAAATCGGAAAATCTGGAATGTTGAAATTCCAAAAAATCTGAAATTCTGAAATCCTGGAAAACCGGAAACTCTGTTGTTTTTTTTTGAAATTTTTGAAAATTCGAAAAGCCTCCAATTCCGAAAAATTGGGAAATTTGAAAATCTCAAAGGATTAAAAATACTGTTCTTGATTTTCCGAAGTTTTGAATTTCTGAATTTCCAACTCCTTCAAAAATTCCTAAATCCTTAATGTTGAAAATTTATGAGTTTCGGAATTTTACAGTTTTTGAATTTCAGAATTTTAGAATTTTCGGATTTCTCAAGTTCTGAATTTCTGGGTGTCTGAATCTCTGAATAAATAGGAAATTTGGGAATCTGAAGCATTCAAAAATTTAATTTTAAAATTTGGAAAATTCAAAAAATTTGAAATATACATTTTTGTTTTCGAAAGTTATTTTTTCAATTTTTGAGTTCTCAATGTTTCAACATTTCAGAGTTTCGGAATCTTAGAATCGGAGAGTCTCAAAATTCCAGAATCTCACAATTTCCGAATTCGAAATTCCTAAAATCCATAGATCCAAAAACATTTTCAGACGAGTGAAATGTATGGTTTTTTATCCAAAAACCATTGGCTCAATATTTCTACTGTGCTCAATTCTATTGTCAATTCCTGGTTGGATTTATTTAATGTTCAAAAATCCAAGTGCAAAATTACAAATTTATTCTGAAAAATCCCACGAAGACGCTGTATGGAAATTGACTGGAAGACGTGGTTACGAACATTTCGTTATTGATTGGGTGGGGAATTCAAAAGTTCAGAAACTCGGAAAATGAGAAATTCGGAAATTCAAAAATTCAGAAATAAAAAAATTTGAAGTTCGGAAATTCGAAATTTAAGAAATTCGGAAATTCGAAAACTCGGAAATTAAGAAACAAATGTATCTATTTGAATCAGAAATATAACTTTCGGACATTCTCAGAAAATTCGGAATTTCAGAAAAAAGATTTTCAGCCGTTTTCAAAAAATTTCTATTTTTAAATTTCCGAATTTCGGAATTTCTGAAATTCTGAAAACCCTGTATTTCCAACCAAAAATAAAAACCATTTTCAGACATTCTGTTACCCACTCTTAATGCTGAAACTTCCCTATTTTCTATTTTTCATTGTCTGTATAATTGCTCATCGTTTCTACATGAAATCCATTCGACACATTTCCAATGACTGCATAGATTTGGGTTATAATTATACATGTAATATCAATCGAGCATTTTTATCAATTTCTTTTCAAATTTTCATTTTCATCGCTTTGCCTTTTTTAATTTTAGATTTCACTATTTTTATTCGATGGGAATTGGGTGTTAGAGCATTGCCAGTCACTTTTGGATGCATTTGTACATGTTTAACAACTTCTATCACACTTTTTGTACATTTCAGAGCTTATCGGTGAGTTTTGGAGGGAATCTTGAAAATTTGGAAAAGATGTTACAAAATTTCAAAAAAAAAAAATTACAGATTTTCGAAATTTTCAAAAAATTACAAATTTTTAAATTTTTAACATTTTCAAAGAATTACGAAATTCGAAGAAAAATATTACTTCACATTTTTGAAACCCACACGCAATTTTTTCATTTTTTTGTAAACATTTTTTCAAAATTTCAAGACAAATTTCGTAAAATTTTTATAGTAACAAAATTTTGGAACAAAAAATCAAATTTTACAATTTTTCAATTTTTTAAAAACGAATTTCCAAATTTCGCAAAGTTATAAAAATCACAAAAACCAGTAAAATTACGAAAATTTATAAATTCCAAGAAAAATTCAATTTCAAAAAATTCCCAATGTCCAGATGTCCAACTTTTTTTTTCTAAAAATGTATCAATTCCCTTTTCCAGACGCCAAGTCGGCTACCTCTTCATCGCATTGCTCCGCCAAAACAATGGAAATTTCCCAATTTTCATCTCAAATCAAAATCACCAATCCACCCATTTCCAATTGTCTGTAATGGCTTAAAACTTCTTTTTTTTTGGTTTTTCAATAAAATTTATTTTTTCTGGAATTCTGAAATTCAATCGAAACGATTCGAGAGCTCAAAAAAAATTGGGGCGGGAAAATTCAGAAAATTTAGGAGGGGGGAAAGCTTTGATTTTTGCCAATAGCAAGGTATGAAACGTCCAGCTAGTGGGGCAAAAAATTTGAAAATTTTCAGCTTTAGGTCTGAAACACAAAAAATTCAAAGAGAGAGAGAGAGAGAGAAAGAAAGAAGCGAGATAATCAAGAGATTAGGGGGAGACAATTCAAATAATTAGGGGAGGAAAAAGGTCCAAATTTTGAGACAAAAAAATGAAAAAAAAATTTAAAGGGACAGGGGGAATTATTTCATCGCGAGAGAGAGAGGGAGGGGAAAAACGTCTAGAAATTTCTAGAAAGTGGGGAAAAACAATTTTGAAGCAAGTGGGGGGGGGGGGGGGGGGGAAAGAATTGGAATACATTTTTTGGAAGAACAATTTTTGGGAAGAAAGCTGTGGGGAAAGAAAAACATTTTTTTTTTAATTTTTAATTTTTTTTGTCAAGAAAAGGTGGTGGGAGTTTGAAGCCGCTCTGCCCAGGAGAGCAATGTTTTGGGGGATTTTATATTTTTTTAAGGATTTTACATTGTACATAGCCTGTTTTGGGGTCCTACCTTGGCCTTGGTGTAGGCCTGGCCAGACCCGAGTTTTTTTGGAAAAAGAATCAACAAGATGAAACGGGACTAGGAGAGCTAACAAAAACTCAACGCTTAGGGGGGCCAATAACCGCGGGACTTTTTCGAAGACTGGGGAAAAGGGAATGGGGGAATTTTTTTGGGGGGGGGGGGGGGGAATGTTTGGCCAAAACCGATAAATCTCAATCATCTCCATATAATGGGGGAGCCTAGAGGGGAAGAAAATCGAATACAGGATGACTTATAAATGAGAAATATCCACAAAATTCGGCCAAAAAACCGGCGACTGGGTGAGGAGCAGAAGCCGTGAGAAGTCAAGAATCGTGTGCAGTTCCATTTTTTGATTTTTTTTGGGTTTTTTTCAGACAGCACACGCATCAAGACTCCTCCAAATCAAAAGAATAAGGGGTGGTGCGATTTTTTTGGGGGCAGAAGATCGTGTCAGCGAATCGGAAGGGGGTGATTTTTTTTTATTTTAAATTCAAATTGGGGGAAGAAAGAGACAGAAAAAGGAAAGAAGAGGGGATAAAATAGAATAGTGAAGAGAGAGGATTTGGCTGGACGACGATTTTTGACAGCTTCAAACGGTCCCGTTGCGGGCCAATTACTTGGTGGTCATCATGGTGACGAACTCTGTAAATTATGAAAAATGATTAGTTGCCAATTAAGTAATCAATTAATTACCTTCATAGTTGACTTGTCCATCTCCATCGATATCAGCCTCACGGATCATCTCGTCGACCTCCTCGTCTGTCAATTTCTCTCCCAAGTTGGTCATCACGTGGCGGAGCTCGGCAGCAGAGATGAAGCCGTTGCCGTCCTTGTCGAACACCTGGAAAAAGAGGGAACTATTGATTTTCTATTTTCGAATGGAAATTTTGACTTAAATTTTTCCAGGCAGTCATTTTAAGCCAAAATTCTTGAAAATCCAAATCTCAGAGATTTTTAAAAAGTTATTTTTTGACATTTTAGAGTCAATTTTCGAGCCGGAAGCGTGATTTTTCAAACAAATGAGCCAAAAAACTAGATTGCACAGCATAAAAATCTGATTGTTCTCTACCAATTTTGAGCTCAAATCTTGAATTCCTAGCCAGTTTGGCTTTAGTGTCGATTTTTACCAATTTCTGAGCAGAAAATCGATTGCTCAGCTTTATTTTTTCGAGCTAAAATCTACCATTTTTAGCCTGATTTTTTTCTTTAAATCCAGCTTCATGCTCTTTTCAAGGTTTTTCTCTACAAACTCACTCGGAACGCCTCGCGAATCTCCTCCTCGCTGTCAGTGTCCTTCATCTTGCGAGCCATCATTGTCAAAAATTCCGGGAAGTCAATGGTTCCATTTCCGTCGGCGTCCACCTCGTTGATCATGTCCTGAAGTTCGGCTTCGGTGGGGTTCTGTCCCAGCGATCGCATGACGGTTCCCAATTCTTTTGTCGTAATCGTACCATCGCCGTCCTTGTCGAACAGGCTGAACGCCTCTTTGAACTCTGGAATTAAGACAACATTTTGGTGGTGATTCGGGTGAAATTTTGAAATTTGGGAAGTGAGAAATCAATAATTTTCGGGATTTTTGGAGTGTCTGTTTTTTGTAGTTTTTCGCCAAATTTCGGCTGTTTTATATAGTTTGAAACATGTTAAAAGATTGAGGCCTAGTCTTGGATTTCTAGGTCACCCACTTGGGGAAGTTAGGACACCAATAAAAAAATTGTTGCTGAAATTCGTCAATTTTCAGCAAAAATGATCCTTTTTTCACTATTTTTTTGGCGCTAAAAATCGTGATTTTTCCGTTTTGTTTAATCGAAACTTCGCTGATTTTCAGCCAATTTTCGCTCTAACTCTGAAATTTATCGATTTTCATCAATTTTCACCAAGAATTCGATTTTTTCATTTTCGAAAATTTTCAATTTTCAAACATTTCTCTAATCAAAAATTCTTAATTTTCCACAGCTATTTTCAGCCGTTTTTCTGCTCGAAAATCCATAAATTTTCAGCCAGTTTCAGTTCAAAAAATCCCCATCTCTTAGCCATTTGTCCGGCATCTGGAATAATCTTTCTATAGCACCGGGAGCACATCTGTGCGATGGGCTCTCATCGGGTGGCTAATGTTTCATCCACCATTAAATTCAAATCTTCATCTCTCAAGATGCACCGCGCTCAATTCGTTTGAAATTCGACAATTCAAGAGGGAGGAAATGGGAGAGGATCAAATTTCCAAATTCCAATTCCTTCCAGAACCGTCTGGAACCGTCTAGAGTCATCTGGACGGTTCTAGATGACCTATACGGCTCCAAAACCTTCCAGACCCTTCCAGAACCGTCCAGACCCTTCCAGAACCGTCCAGACCCTCCCAGAACTTCCTAGACTCTCCCAAAGCCTTCCAGACCCTTTCTTACCGGCAATTTGCTCCTCGGTCAACTGATCAGCCATCTTGACGCTTCGTTGTTGGGGGTTGAAGTTAGATTAACCCTGAAAAATGGGAAGCATAGAGAATCTTCTAGGTCAGTGTCTAAAAATGATGCAATCGATTGGAAAAGTAAAACGAACAGAGATTTTCGCACGTAAACAATGATGTATAGAGATGGTGGCGGGGATGGAGGGGGGCAAGGTGATAGCGAGAGGGATCGAGGACACGAGAGAAAAAAGAGCGAGAGAAAAAGGAAACGAATCCAATTTTTTTAGAAGAAAAAAGAGAAAAAGAAAAAAAAATTTGCGAACAATCAGAGGACGATGGGAGTGATGGGAATTAAATATCAACTGATAACGAAATCAGTACGTACAATGAAGAAAAATGCGCATTATCACTGCAATGCGTGAGTAGATCAAAGGTTGATTTCATCAAATTCGAACAAAATATTTTTGTAGTGATATCATTTTTTTTGGGAAATCTATTGATCTCATGTGTCAGACTGAAATCCAAAAAAAATGCGAAATTTCATCTAAAAAGTAGCTAAAAATGAAGCTAGAAAACCGCGAAACTCTAAAATCCGGATTCTAGAAAAATCCAGGATTTTCGATTTTTGCCGTCTTTTTTCAATTTCAGCCAATTTTTAGCAGATTCTTCCAGAACAATTCTAGGCCTCTCTAGAAAATAACTGGAGGTATTTAGACCGTTCCAGAACCTTGTAGGACCTTCCAGCATCTTCTAGACTATTCCAGAACAAAAAAAAAGGAGCCCATACTTATACACTTCCAGAATCCCTCCCATCTAAATAGAGTCTAGGTCAAAGATCCCAGGTCAAGACCATTAGATATCTCTCTCAAACTGATTGAGAAGAAAATCTCACCACCAATTTCTCTCATTACACACACAGGAAAAAATATAGATACACTCAAAAACTAAACTGATTAGAGTGTATCATGTATAGTAGACAATATCTATCTCTTTCTCCTCTCAATGCCAGCCAAAACAGATTCCAAAGGGTCAAGGTATCTTCTTAGAAGCGCTAACGTCTTCTATTTCGAATACCAAGTCCAGTGTAAAAGTCTAGAGTGGTCTAGAAGCCTATACGCGGCTCTGAGAGGATCTAGGAGGGTCTAGAAGGTGCAAAACGTTTCTAAATGGTTCTAGAAGCTTCTCGATAGCTCTGGGAGGATCTAGCGGATTCTAGATCATTCTAGATAGGTCTAGAAGGGCTTAGATGGCCCAAAGTGGTTCTAGATGACCATACGAGGATCTAGAAGGTTCTAGAAACTCTAGATCGTTCTAGAAAGATCCAAAAGCTTATAGATGCCTCTGGAAGATTCCAGAGGCTCTGAAAAGTTCTGAACGAAATTTTGACGTCGAAGCCAAAGTAGCCAACGTCTTCTATCTATTTCAAATAGCCCAAAAAGCAAAAAAAAAGAGAACACAACGCCTTCAAAAAGTCGCTGTCGTCGAGTGATGAAGAGGATGGATGGGATAGGAGGAGAGGGGCCGGCCGGCCGGGACGACGAACACAAAAACTAGTTCTTCTTCGCCTTTTTCCTACACTTGTTCAATATGAAAAAAGAAGAAGAAGAAACGAAACACAACAGACCCCGACCGAACCGACCAACCCCGTGTTGTAGACTTGTTGCTTTCCTCCCCATCTCATCAACAAAACCTCAATTCTCAACTGAGCGCATTTGCTTCCAGCCCCGTCAAACAATGGAGATTAAAGGGGGGCGAATAATCTTTTCGTCAGTTCTCGTGGTTTGCGGCGAAAAACAACGAAAAAAAAACAAATGGCTTAACCCAAGAGAGAGGTTCGAATTACTGAAATTCTAGGAAATTCGAGAAAATTTGTGGGGAAAAGGTCCTTAAAATTGTCTAAAAATCCGAAATTTGAATCCA